GGCCAGAGATGCAGGGGGTGAGAGGATTCACCAGAGACAGAGTGGGGAACAGAACAGGCAGATTGACTGAAGCACACTGCTGAGGGGGCAGCAGGCAAGCCAGGAGAGGTCTGCTGCACCATATGGGCTGCTCCCTGGCTGACCAGGGATTGAACTCTGTGCTGCAGAGGCTGTAGACTGTTTCATAGTGCAGTGCGTAACCCCTTGCACCACCAGGGAAGCCCAGCTTTGTTCTTCTTTTTCAAGATTGCTTTGGCTGTTGGAGTCTTTTGGGGTTCTAATTTTTGACATTTTTCTAAGTTTACTCTTTATAATGTCCTTTATCTTTATAAATATGACAAATCAAACATTTTTATAAGCATTAAACTTAAATGACCAATTCATAGATATTCCATTTTTTAAAGTAAACTTTTTATTTTGAGACATTGTAGATTCACATGCAGTTGTAAGAAATACTATGTCCCAGTTATCTGCTACCAATTCTTTTAGTAGTAACTTCTTGAAAACTACAGTACAGTACCATGACCTAGATATTGACATTGAAACAGTCATATATAGAAGTCAGTTTCTTCACGTTTAAAAATATAAGGTATATATTTGTACTTCCCCAGTCTTCTAGTGTGTCTGGCTTCCATTGGGAGTAGGGGAAAGAACCAAGTTTATGGTTCCAAGTTTTCACTGCTACTTCATCAGAAATTTACTCTTCAAGCATTTTACTCTATCATTTTGTTTTATGTTACTGACCATATTATCTTTAAAAACTGCTGAGTTCAAAATAAAATATTTAATTCTTTTTATATGGTGTTAAAGGGATTTTAAAAGTAAAAAAATTCTCTAGATCCAATTTTCCCCTGATCCTTTCCAGTTTTTTGTATGTTTAGATTTTCTACAGTATATCTGACTACTTGTTTATATATACATACATACGTATGTAGTTTCCAACCATTTTACTTTGGTAAGCATTTTTCATGTAGATAAAAACTATATCACTTTCAAGTTGATTTAATTATCTTATCCTTTTCCCTATCTCCATTTAAACACTTTTCAAATGGCATGGTTATGAACATTATAATACATTCAGCTTTTTTTCTTCTTATGAATTATTGTATTGTATTGTAATTTCACGCGTGTGCAACTACTCAGTCAAAGGGTCTGAACATTTTTATGACTCAACTGTATTGGCAAATTGCCTTCTTGACGAATTTGGGAACCAACTATATAACTTGTGAAGCATGCTATGGTAGCCTATGAGACCCCTGAAACAAGATGAAGGGAGTAAAACTAAAATTATCACATTTATGTCAATCTACTTATCATTCAAGCTCTCTAACCATGAACAATTCATTCACTCTGCTTGGTTTCTGTGGTTCACAGTCTCATGGTTTTCCTCCTCCCTCTGGCTTCTCAGCCTTCTGTTAAGGCTCCCATGCCTCCGCTTATTCCCCACAAGTCTTCAGACTTCTGTCTAGAATGACTATCCTCTTCTCACTTTCCCCCTTCTCCATGAGTCAGGTTGTAGAAACCTTTCTGCTCACATTCTTCTGTACCTGTATCTTCACCACAGTCATCTTTCCCATCTATATTCACATTCCTCCACCTTGGACAGCCACTTGCCCATTTACCCCTTCCAGAAATCCAGGTTTCATCCATCATTCCTTTTCCTCATTCACCTGCTATATTCAGTAAATGGCAAATCTTATTAATATTTTCTTCTGAATATTTCTAGAACCCATTGCTTCATTCTTCTACCACTCTCTTGTTCTAGTCACTGTTGTTTACTACGGGGATTACTACAACAATTTTTTAACTGCCTTCCCTGAATCCAAATGATCTTTCCAAAGCATATTCTCTCTTTTGCTCTAGATTTACTGATCTTATGAAGTCATCCTGAACACCTCAATTTTTTCAGTTCTCCTCTGTACAAGCCCCTAACTACCACCACTACCAAAATACATATACACAAGAAAGCATGCAACACCCCTTTCTTTATATTTACCTGGCTTGTGCCTATTCAGCCATTAGGCCCCAGATTACTAATAATTTAATTTAATCACATCTTTACTTCTCACTAAATTGTAAGCTCCTTAAGGCAGAGATTATGCCCTATTGAAGACCTAGTGCCTGCCAGAGCACCTGGGGCTTACTGATTTTTTTATATCTCATGATCAGATTACCTGCTATATACCCAATGTCATACTAAAATTTGAAAAAGTGAAAAACTCAAATTGGTTGTTTAGGTATAGACAAAACTCTATGATTGATCACCTGCATGAATATGAGTTAAAAATATGATTCATTTGTTATTAAAGTTTATTTATAAGAGTAAGATAACTGGTCTGGTGTAGAACTCAAGTTGGAAATCTTGCTTGCAGTACTTTCTTGAATGGTAGATTTTTATTTCTCTATATTTTGTGCCATAATGAGCCTTTTGATAGTTTTTTATTGATATATTTGCACCAAGTCCCAAATTAGGAGAAAGTAAGCAAAAGGAAATTCCAGAGGAGTCAGTAATGAAGGTTACTTTTCCAAGAGAGGGACAGAAGGAGGACGACTCATCACAGAACCGAGATATGAAAGGTGAAGAACAGGCGTTGACCTTGGAGCCTGAGGAAATTGTGAGGCTTAGAGAAGAACTGAGCAATATGAATCAGAAACTCCTTCAGTCTCAGAGCTCTGGGGATAGTTCAGATGACAGTAGTGCCAAGGTAGGTGCTATGAACATGTGCTCTGACCGTTTCATCTGATCATTATATAAGCATTATTTTTATATTAGCATTAACATATATTTGTTGACCAATATCATAACCAGGGCCCAGTTAGCAATATCAATAGCAACCAAAATCTGAACTAAACCTTTCAGAGCCGGTCTCTTCCACATTCATTGGATTAGAATCCTGAAAGCCAGTAATCTTTAACTCTCTCCACAATAGGAATGATCTTATCATTGGGACCAGTACATGAACTTAGTTTAAAATATAGTTTTAATAAAATAAATATAGTTTTAATAAAATATAGTTTTAATAAAATTTTTTAATTCTATAAAATTAAGGTAATTAATGCTGGTTCCAACTGAGATGATTCACCAGAGACAGAGCCGGGAACAGAACAGGCAGACTGACAAAATACGCTGCTGAGGGGAGCAGCAGGCGAGACAGGAGAGGTCTGCCACACCATGTGGGATTCTTGCAGGCCGGCCTGGATTGAACCCATGCTGCAGAGGCTGTGGACAGCTTCACAGTGCGGCACTCAACCGCCTGCGCCACCAGGCCATATGCTTAATTTTGATTCTCAAGAATAATACATTCCTTAAGATAGATGTTAGCCATGATCTGGTCTTAGGTTAGGAGTAAACAGACTCAGAGAGGATAATTGCCTTAATAAAGATCCCTATGTACTTTACTCTCTTACATGGTTCTTAGTAACCTGAATGAGTCTTTATGCCTCTTCAATAACGTTCAACTAGGAAGGTAACTTACACAGTTGGAAAAATTAGAGTCTTTATGTTGACTGGATAACTGGTAGCTTCTTTAATAGTGACCTTTCTTGAAAAACAATTTGTGTTTCTGCTCTGGCAATGTGACTTGCCTAGAAAATATAGACAGATAGAACTACTGTTCTGGCTTTTCTCATCTTCAAAGCAGGCTAAAAATGTCTGTGTCTTGTCCCATTTGTTTAGATAGAGTATTTGCCTTGTGTATATGTGTTTTGGTAAGTTAAATGACTGCACAAGTAAAACTGCAATATTATGGTTAGATAAGAAGCTATAGAGGGGTGATCAAGGCTTTCTAGGCTGCAGGAGAACCTTTGTTTTTAGATGGCAAAAGAGGGCAGTTAAAGAAAAGGACAGTTAGGTGACATGAATTATAATGGATAATGTTATTGAGTGTTTAATATATGCTAACATTGTGTTTCATTTTTACATTTGTTATCTTACTTACCCTTTTACCCCATCCAGGGGTTATCATTATTATTCTCCCGTTAAAAGGAAGAAAAGGAGAAATAAAAAAAACTAAGTAATTTTTCCAGTATCACCCAATTAGTAAGTGATAGATTCTAGATTGAATCCCAATTGTACCTAACTCCAAAACTCTAGGATTCTTAATAATTACATTATAATTCCATTATAGTACTTTCTCTAGGGATCTTAGGTACTTATAGCTCTAAGACAAGCAAATTGGATTTAGATTGTCTTTCTGACAGAACTGAGATAGAAATGGAAGGGCTGAAAGGACTTGGAGAATTTTGTATTGCTTCAGAGACATAAGCAAAATATACCTTATGACATGGGCTTTTCAGAAAGTTGTAAACGGAAGCAGGACCTGGACTTAGGAAATTCTAAGTATATTTTATATATTTGATTGGATCAGGTTGAGTTATTTAACTACTCAGCATAACTGTGTACCTACCTTTTCTTGAAAATCCAAGCAACTACTCTTATGGTTAAGGTAATTTCGTTGTACTGGAGAGAGCTTTATAGGAGAGTATGTTGGTGTTGAGTAGTAACTGAAGGATTATCATAAGGTCATAAGGTAGTAAAAGGAAATTGATGAGGAAAGTTAGGAATTTAAGATCTCATGCTAATTTTTCTCTTGCCTCTTGTTAACAGCCAACCCCTACCCACACATACATACACACCTTCACACTCTACTTTTTAATATATTTGACTTTTTGAACACTCCATTTAAGTGTATTTTATTCTAAAATTGCCCATGCTTCTATTCCCTTTCACTGATTTGAAAAACAAGAAATTATCTCTGCTTAACTGCTTTTGTTCACATAATTTCCCTGATATTTTCAATTTAATATAATAGAAGTTAAATTATATGAACATATACTAACTTCTCATAAATGTACAATTAATTTGTTTTAGGTAAGCTGTCTCCAAAATATTTACCTGTGAATAGCCACATTCTGACAATTCAGATCTACTATCTGGGATCTATGTTTTATCAATATTCTTTCTAATTGGCCACATTTCTCTTTTAAAAAATTTGCTTTAGTATCCATTATCTGGAGAAATACTGAAATACCACCAGCAAGAGGAACCACAGCTTCGCCAGAATTTGCACCGCCTCCAGATTCTGTGTAGTTCAGCTGAAAAAGAGCTTCGATATGAACGAGGAAAGAACTTGGACTTAAAGCAACATAATAGTTTACTTCAGGATGAAAACTTTAAGGTAACTCATGGCACATCTTTAATTGAAGGATCTCAGTTGCTCAATGGCCCTGTGGATAAACTAATCCAAATTCCTCCACTTTATAATTCATGGAAGGATCCACAAATGGGTGAACTATGTCAACTCTCCTTTCACTCTCCCCTACTAGTAGGTACACAGCTCAGTTGTCTCTCACTGCTAAAATGGATGTGTGTGTCGTGAACCTGTGGATGGAAATTTTAAAATTATACACACTTTTGAAAACTAAAACTTTTAGCATTTACTAAATATCAGTAACTGGAGCCCAAACCCTGGTGGTCCTGCCCTAGTTATATCTCTAGACTTATCTATCCCTAATAGATATATCCATTATTACTGATTGAATCAAATAACTACATAAAGTTACAATTCATAGGTGGGAAAAGTTATTTTTTCTGACATAAGAACTTCAATAACTTAGGGGACATCCCCCAAGCATGCTTGTTTTAAAATAATCTATGTAGTATTGCCATCCACAGCTTCACCTAGATTTTATGAACCACACAATTGTTCAAACTGAACTAATGTGTAAAATAGCACTTCCCTTTCATTGTGGTTTAATTCTGTGTGTGTGTGCGTGTGTGCATGTGTGTGTGTTAGAAACCTAGTAAGCCCCAACCATTCAACAAATATTTCTTGAGCACCAGTTAAACACCAGGCAGGCAATCTTGTAGATCCTGAGGGTTTAATGGTAGGCAAAACACACAAAGCTGATCCCCAAGGTTCAGGCCAAGTGTCAGCATGTACAGAATTGGCCCATGGTGGAAAAGGAGAACACGGGGATGACTTTGAAGTTACTGGCCTCGACAGAAGGCTGAGTGGTGCTATTATTTATTGAAATCAGGGAGATTGAGATAAAAACTATCTTGAAGATATGAATAGTGGGCCTCCCCGGTGGCGCATCAGTTGAGCGCTGGTTTGCGAAGCTGCCCACAGCCTCTGCAGCGCCGGTTCAATCCCCGGCTGCTCCCCGGCCTCCTGAGGAGGGTCCCACATGGCGCACAGACCTCTCCTGCCGCCTACTGCTCCCTTCAGCAGTGTACTTTGGTCCTTCTGCCTGCTCTGCTCCCTGCTCTGGCTCTGGTGAATTCTCTCACCCTCCCGTGCTTCTGACTGTACCCAGATTGTATGTATCAATCAATCAATCAATAAATCAATAAATCTTTAAAAAAAATATATGAATAGTATCAGGGAGTTTAATTTGGGCAGCTCTTAGTATAAAGGTGGTATTTTAAGTCTTGAGAATGAACCTAGAGAGAGAATGATCCATTCTTAAAGACTAAGATAGTCTGATAATAGAGATTGGGTAGTTTTAGAACATTCTAAAAATGGAGACCAAGAAGAAATAGCAGTGAATTAAGTGAAAAACAAGAGGGCATCACAGACCCCAAGAGAACTTTCTGAAAGAGAAGGAATGAATGCTACTGAGAAGTCAGATTTTCCATTTGGTTTATATTGGCAACAGAGAGGGCAGTAGTGCCCTTGGTTCAAACAGTTTCATGGAGTAGTGGGATGAAAGCCAGCTTGGAGTAGATTGAGGAATGGGTGAAAAATGTTTCGACTGTGCATATATAGAAACTCTTAAGAAAATTCTTTTGTCCAGCTGCCATCTGGCTAGATTGACTTTGGCAAGCCTTGCTAACACATATCAGTGCCAGAGAGGTAATCAGACATGTGACGTTGATTCTGGCCAGCTCTCTTGGGGGACTACGCTTCTTTGAAAGCTGCTTATTCTGGCTTATAATCACATTTGTTCTATATTTGTTTTTATCACTCTTGTTTATTCCCCACCTCTAGATCAAAATTGAACTAAAGCAGGCCCAGCAGAAGTTATTAGACAGTGCGAAGATGTGCTCTTCACTCACAGCAGAGTGGAAGCACTGTCAGCAGAAAATCAAGGAACTGGAGCTAGAAGTACTTACACAGGCTCAGAGCATTAAATCACAGAACAGCCTACAGGAAAAGCTGGCTCAGGAGAAATCTAAAGTTGCTGATGCAGAGGAAAAGGTAATTATCCTCATGCTTAATAAATAGCATGCATTGGATACCACTACTCAAATCCTGTTTCCCTGTGGGCTTTAAGAAATAGATATGGTATACATTTGATAGAATTCTAGGGTTTTTGTTTACTCTCCCATGCTCTCTCTTTCGACTTCACCTGTTTCTACAACTCTGGTAACTTGAGTGTTTTTTTGAACTGGGTGTACTTAAAAAGATACGTTGCAGTTATAATTACAAGATGAACTTTAAGCACTGAATTTTTTTATACTTTCAAATTTTATACAATCCAAATTTGATTTGGATTTTATTTAGATGATTTTGATTTTGATTTTTTTGTAGGGATATGTGTTGTGAAATGAACAATTTTGCTGTATTGCCCCTGTATTTTAGATTTCTTAACACCAGGTGGCAGTAGTATGCAGCAGTTCAACATTTTAATCTGTGAATTTGTCTTAGTCAAATCTTTTTTTTTTTTTAAAGATTTATTTATTTATTTATATACAAGAACGGGGTACAGGCCAGAGGCGCGGGAGGGTGAGAGGATTCACCAGAGAAAGAGCAGGGAACAGAACAGGCAGACTGACGAAATACACTGCTGAAGGGAGCAGCGGGCGGCAGGAGTGGTCTGCTGCACCATGTGGGACCCTCGCTGGCTGGCCAGGATTGAACCGGCGCTGCAGAGGCTGCGGACAGCTTCACAGCACTGTGCTCTACTGCCTGTGCCACCAGGGGAGGTCCTCAGTCAAATCTTAACATAAAAAAAGAAGTCATTTCATCAAACCATGTAAAGATTAAACAGACTTCAAAAAGTAGATGGCAGCAATTAAATTAAACCCAAAGTCTTATGTTGAGGTAAGAAAGTCAGCACAAAAGAATTAATTTGTCATTTCATTCATATCAGAATAGACAAAACTAAGCTATAGGATGGTGGTTGTCTTTATGAGAGGTATTAAGTGGCAGGGGATATGAGAGTATCTTCCATGGTGTGGGAAATACTCTATTTATTGGTAGAGGAGGTGGTTATATAAATAAAACTTCACTATGTTATGTTCACTTTACATATGTATGTTGTTATTCCACTAAAACTAATTGATAACATTGATAAAATGTTTAAATTTATATGATACTAAGTATTGGTGAGAGTTTTGTGCAACACAGACACATATATATTTACTGCAGTTGAAGGAGTAAATTAGTATAAACATTTTACATAGCAATTTGACATTGATACTTAGATAAAAGTGTATATATAATACAAAGGACACTTACATCGCTACTATAAACACTAAAGAAACTGTCACATTACAGAAATGTATCAAGGAACAGGAATACAATTATGTTTACAGTAATAGTGTTCCAAATACTGAAAATTGGAAACAACCTAAATGTTCAGTAACATCAGGAATAATTAATTGTATATTTACATAATAGCATACAACAGTGAAAATGCATGAACTCCAAGTAGTTCAGTGCAATACTGAATAAAAACAAAGTCACTACAAATAGCACAATCCATTCATCTAGAGGTCAAAATAGTGCAAAATAAAGGAAGCAAAGGGGCCCAGTGGCCTAAGGTAAAGGACTATGGGTACTTGAATGGAGGGGGCATGGTGGTAAATTACATCTGAGGTGGTTAGAACCTATTCCCCTAAATCATATACAGTGCTGTAAATAAGTATTACCACAGGAAAGAATTAACTAATTATTAATTGATTAGCTCTAGCTATACCCTTTTGACTACATTTGTATGTTAGCACTACTATGTTTGCCATACATATGATATCTCTTTAATTGGAAAAAAGGTCACACTCTTCTTAAACTCTTTTCATTTAAGATTTTAGATCTGCAACAGAAATTAGAACAAGTTCAAAAAGTTTGTCTCCCAGAATCTTGTATTTTGGAGAAGAAGCAACTAGAGGAAAGGCTAAAAGAATCAAGAGAAAATGAAGCTAAAATAAAGCAACAATATCAGAAAGAACAAGAGAAGAGGTAAGGGGAGCAAAGACACCAGCTTCCTGTGACTGATTTTACCAGTGTGTTTCCCCTGTGCCCGCTAAGTAAACACACGTAACTTCGTCATATAGTGCTATGAATACATACAATGCATGTATTATATCACACAGTATATTCTAATTGTTTATTGTTTGTCTTTCACAATGGAGTGTGGCATTCTTATGGGTGGAGATTATTTCTCGTTCTGGAACTCCTGAGTAAATTTTCTTGAATGACTCGATTGCCTGTGGGTTATGATCCTCTGAGGTTTTGTTTTTCTAACTCTAACATGATTGGCAGGAGATGTAGACTAGGATGAAGTTTGTGTTTTGTATTTATTGACCGACTTTCTTCAAAGAAGTTTCAAGTACTTTATAGTCATCCTAATCATCACAAACTGCTACCAAAAAGCAGGTCATTTTCCCCTGCAAATTATAATTATTTTTACTTAAATGGTCTTTCTGAATGTCCTGATAATACGTAACTGATATTTTTTTATTTTTATGGCTCTCAGAATGATTCCCATGTATATTTTTTTTTTTTTTTTTTTTTTAAAGATTTATTTATTTATTTATACAAGCACTGGGGTATAGTCAGAAGTACGGGAGGGTGAGAGAATTCACCAGAGCCAGAGCGGAGAGCAGAACAGGCAGACAGACGAAGTACACTGCTGAGGGGAGCAGTGGGCGGCAGGAGAGGTCTGCGCGCCATGTGGGACCCTCGCCCTGCGGCCAGGGATAGAACCGGTGCTGCAGAGGCTGTGGGCAGCTTCGCAACCCAGCGCTCAACCGCTGCGCCACAGGGGAGGCCCTCCCATGTATATTTTTTCAAATGTGGTTTTAAAATCACTGAAGAGATATAAAACATTCATATACACTGTGAAGGTCAGAAACCTTAGCTGTAGTTAAAATTAAAAAGCTCTAGTATAAGGCCTGACACTTAACAGAAACTCAGTAAATATTTAGCAAATGAATGAACATTTGAGTAAGCATATGAATGAATAATGAATTCCCTCAGTGAGGTACAGTGGAAAAATACTTGCCTCACTGTCACTTCTAGCAGGTTGGCAGAGTAGCTACAATATAACTAGATCCTGAATGAACTAGAATAAGCCTACCTTTTATTGCGTGGCTCACAAAGCAAGAGAAAGCCTAAAGGCAAACATTCAGTGAGGTAAAACAAAAATGATAAATGGTGAACAAACTTCTCAGTCAAGGAGTAAATGACAATAATAGCTCTGAGTTCAGTAGAAGTAGCTAGAAGTTTGCCAAGAGGTAGGATAGCTAACTAGAGAAGTCAGTATTAAGCTGGACTCCTGACAGAGCAAAGTGTTCCCCTGTAGACAGCCCCCTAGTTTCCCCACTGAGAAAAATCCAAATTATGGAAGAAAGCAACTCCAATATTAAATACTAAGGATTCCCATATGTTAAGTCTTATCAAAGTTTTTACAACCATCGCCAAACAATAGCACAAGGGAACTGGTGTTACCATGAATGAAAGCAGAAATAAGATATGCCAGGTTTATAGCCCCTAAGAACTTCAGCAACTGCAAATGTGAAGACTAGATTGTAAAACAACTGTGTGAAGCTTCTAAAGAAACAAAAGATGTAATCAAAGGGCCTCCCTGGTGGCGCAAGGAGTTAAGCACTGCGCTACGAAGCAATCCACAGCCTCTGCAACACAAGTTCGATTCCCAGCCGGCCAGGGAGCAACAGCAACCCACATGGTGCAGCAGACCTCTCCTGTCTCGCCTGCTGCTCCCCTCAGCAGTGGGTTTCAGTCAATCTGCCTGTTCTGTTCCCCACTCTGTCTCTGGTGAATCCTCTCATCCACCGCCGCCACATCTCTGGCCTGTACCCCAGCTTTTATATGCATAAATAAATAAATCTTTGGGGAAAAAAAAAAGATGTAATCAAAGAATTAAACAGGAAAAGGGCAATTTCACTTTCCTGGAACTTGGCTTCTTATCTCCAGTTCTTTACAACTTTGTAAAGATTTGCTGAAAATAAATATATAGTAGTATGTAAACTGAGTATAGGAAAATGAAATTTGTGAAGGTTTTTTTTTTGCACAAAAGGGAACCATATAGTATTCATTGTGTTGTAACTTGGAGGTGAGCAACCCCAATTTAAATATTAGATTTAACCTACTTTTTTCACTTAAAATATTATGATGTATTTACCAGTCTTTAAATCTTCTAGAACATTATTTTAATAATATACCATGATTTATTTATTCTTTATTATTGGACATTTACATTTTTCCCAGTTTCTTGCTATAACAAGGAACAATACACTTTCTTGTAGCCAATTTTTGTGCATATACTTTATTATTTCCTTGGGATAAATTCAAGCAAGTACAGTGTAATTATAACTGTTCATTATGAAATTTCAAATATTACAGAGATAGAGATATGTACAATAAATAGCATAAGTTCTTCAGCATTTGATCCTTCAGCAATTAACCATTTTAAGTTGCTACATATTTCTCAGATTTTTTCCTACACATATACATATGCATATATTTTTTATTACTCTTGTTAACAAAAATTGAACCATTTTAAATTATTGCTTTGGAATTTGCTTTTTTTACCTAACCATATAACTCAGCATCTTATTAGCCACTTGGTTGCATAATCTTGGGCAAATTTCTTATCCTCTTGGTGCCTGACCATACCTACTTCACAGGATCATTGTGAGGATCAAATGAATTATAATCAGCTGACTTATAGCAATGTCTGACATGTAGTAAATACCTGAATCAGTCAGGGTTCAATCAGAGATGTAGACTAGTGGGAGGAATATATATTTAATAAGAGATTTGTTATGGGGATTTGATCTGATGTAGTTGTGGAAGCAGGTTACCAACTAGAAACATATATGAAAGGAATTCCTAGCCAAGTTGATACATTACAAAGCTACTACTAAAAAGGTAGTTGTGGTGTTATTGCAATATTTGATATTATTATTATCTTCATCATCCTCATCATCAACAAAGTGAAGAATGTTCATTTTGGTTAAAACAAAGTGTCTGGGGATAAAGGAGTGGCAAGAAAATGAGGGTAGAAAGGTAAGCTGGGCCTGGGCCATGTGGAGCCTAGCAAGCTACATTGAGGAGTTTGAACATGTTCATGGGAATGTTGGTCCACAGTTTCCTTTCTTATAATATCTTTATCTGGTTTTGGTATTAGAATAATGCTGGCTTCTTAGAATTAGTTATGTTGGGAGAGAATTGGTATTATTTCTTCCTTAAATGTTTGGTAGAATTTACCAGTGAAACCATTTGGGTACTTTATTTCTTAGGTAATTAAGTATTGATTAAATTTATTGAATAGACATAAACCTGTTCAAATTATCTGTTTCTCCTTGTGTGAGTTTTAGTAGATTATACCTGCCAAACAATCAGTCTGTTTCATCCAGGTTACCAGATTTGTGGGCACAGAGTTGTTCATAATATTCCTTTATTGTCTTTTTAAATCCATGGAATCAGTAGTGATGATCCAGCTTTCATTTCCGATATTATCAATTTGTTTCTTCTCTGTTTCTTGGTTAACGTGGCTAATGGATTTATCAATTTTATTAATCTTTTCAAAGAACCAGCTTTAGTTTCATCTGCTGTTTTTCCTGTTTTCAGTTTCATTGATTTCTGCTCTAATTTTCATTTCTTTTCTTGGGCTTTATTTAGGCTTACATTGGACTTCTTTCTTTAATCTCCTAAGGTTGAAGTGTAACTTATTGATTTCTGCTTTCTTCTTTTATAATATTTGCAATTAAAGCCGTGTTTCCTGCTGAGCACTGTCTCTGTTGCATCTCACAGCTTTTATGATTTGTGTTTTCACTTTCATGAAAATACATGTAGTTCAAAATATCTTAAAGTTTCTCTTGAGACTTCTGTGATTTGTGTATTGTATATGTTTATTTAATCTGCAAATATTTTGGGACTTTTCATCTTTCTGTAACTGATTTATGGTTTCATAACATTGTTTTAAGCAGTACTATAGCATGCTGTTACATAGATATATGTTGATGTAATGTGTTGTTTAGGTATTTTTATTATAAATAATGCTATAATGAATATCCTTGAACATAAGACTTTGCAACTGCAGTGAGATATAATGTGTTACACTCAGGAAGGTTTAGGATATTGTGAGAGTAGATACCTGGAACACTTAAGCTGATGGAACAAGCGCTGAAAACCTCCTTCAAAGAAAGCTATTTAAGCTTAGAGTGAAGTTGTTGGTATGGGAAAGTTAAGTAGAGAATATTAGTCAAAGGAAGGCCTAGAGGAGGAAGATATGGAAAAGGTTGGAGCTGCAGGGGAGGAGTACGTGTGGAGGCTAACTTGTTTCAGGAAATGAAAAAAGTTCATTTTGCCAGGACAAAGTATTTGGGGATAAAGAAAATGCATGAAAATGAGGTCTGACAGGTAAGCTAGCTATCAAGTCACAGTAAAGACTTTGGACTTTATCTTAAGTGTAATAGGAACAACTGAGCATTTTAAGCAGAGAGAGTGGTATGATTAGATTGTGACTTAGAGGGAGCATTTTGATTACTATGTAAAGAATAGATTGAAAGAAAGGCTAAGGAGTCTTATCAATCTACCAATTGCTTAATTTCATTCACTGGCAGCACATGTTTGTTAATTTTTCATTGTTCAAACCCCATATATTATAAAGGAATTAATTTCCAACATATTCAATAGTTTCTATTTAAATTTTGACTTCCATTTTCAATATCAGTTTCCAACTCCTAAATCCTAATTCAAATAATTCAAGGTTTTTTAGTTCTAACAAATTACAAATCCTTTTTCAGCTCCAAGGTTTAGGACATAGTCTGGTTCTTTGACCAGAAACTCAGAAAGAACCAAGAAAGTAAATTATAATATCAAGGAATTGCTCAGGTATATAGTGAGTTAGATGAAATAGAGATGAGGGAGATATTGATACAGGGTGGGCATGAACCATTGAAGGCAAATTATAACAGCTGTTGGAGACCCTGCCTTACATCCAGAAGCATGAGAACTAGGGATTCTTAGGGCTTGAGAGATATGAACCCCATGTCTCAAATATAAATCTTTCCCAGTAATTCATTGATTTCTCAGAAAATTGAAGTTAGAGAAAGCAAACTTAATTGTCCAATATCAGCATTTTATTGACCCAACATGTAGGTGAGATCTTTGTCCACCAATACTTTTGGAAGAGGGTACATTTCCTCATCAAACAGGTTCATTTGTGACCCAGTTACAGCAGTGTTAACACACACATATACAATAGAATTTGTAACTAACTACCCTGTATTGAACCAAGAAGGTCAAAATACTCAACTTGTAAAGTTGTGAGAAAGAGTAGAAGGAATCTGGGTTTGTAGATTAGAGCTCTACCTCCATTTGGTACTAGTTGTGGACTTGAGAACATTAATTGAACTTCTCTGTGGTATAGCTTTCTCGGTGAAATAAGGGAAGTTATTTTTTCTCATCTTTTGAGAAATGATTGTGAACCATGAAAAATTGCTGTCACAAAAGAGGTTCTCTGTGTTGTTCTCTTTATCTTATGGTCTTATAGCCTACCTCATTGAACAACAACAACAAAAAACCTCTGTGATGGTATAACAATTTTAGGTCAGAGTTTCATTTACAAATCTTTGTAACTGACAGTGAGATTTAATGTACATTCATTGCCCTCAGGAATCTCCAAGATCAGAGCATAAATGAGCTACAAAAGCAAGTGAGGATTTTACTGGATAAAGAGAACAGATTGGAAACAACCAGTTCTCAACAACAATCCAGAATTCAGCAGCAAGAAGTCCAACTTAAACAACTGGAAAATGAAAAAGGAAAATCTGATGAGGTAAGAAAGTAAATAGAGATGCTTCTAAGTTTTGGGTTGATAAAAGCTAATAATTTAGGTAATAATTGGGTAATAAGGTAATAATTGGGTTGATAAAAGCTAATAATTTTTGAGTGCCTACTACTTTACCCATGAAGTTTAGTCAAGGTTCAGGCAGGAAAACAGAATCTGTTCTAGCTAGATCAAGTAAACTCAAGGAATAGTCACAGAACTGTTGGAAGAAAGAAGACTGAACAGAAGAAGTCAAGAAAGTAGATGGAGTTGCTGGATCAAATGGTAGATATATTTTTAATATTTTGAGAAGCCTTCATACTATTTTCCGTAAGGACTGGACCAATCTACATTCCCACTAACAGTATAGAAGGATTCCTTTCCCCCATACACTAGCCAATGTTTATTGTCTCTGATTTTTTCATATAGGCCATTCTTACATGTGTGAGGTATCATTTCATTGTGGTTTTGACTTGCCAGTCCCTGATGATAAGTGATGATGAGCATTTTTTTTCATGTGCCTATAAGCCAGTTGTATGTCATCTTTGGATAAGTGTCTATTTAGTTCGGCTCCCCATTTTTTGATTGGGTTATTTGTTTTCTTCTTGTTGAGTTGTATGAATTCTTTTTCTTTTTAAAGATTTATTTATTTATACAAGCACTGGGGTACAGGCCAGAGGCACGGGAGGGTGAGAGAATCCACCGGAGACAGAGCGGGGAGCAGAACAGGCAGAAGGACCAAAATACACTGTCGAGGGGAGCAGCGGGCGAGACAGGAGAGGTCTGTTGCGCCATATGGGAATCTCCCTAGCTGGGCGGGAATCGAACCGGTGCCACGAAGGCTGCGGCCAGCTTCACAGTGCTGTGCTCAACCCGCTGCACCACCGGGGAGGCCATTAAGTTGTATGAATTCTTTGTAGATCTTGGATATTAGGCCCTTGTCAGATATATGATATGCATATATTTTCTCCCATTCAGTGAACTGTCTTTTCACTTTAATGATAGTTTCTTTCACTGTGTGAAAGTCTTTTAGATTGATGTAGTTACATTTGTTTATTTTTGCTTTTGTTTCCCTGGCTCTTGCAGTCAAGTCCCCAAAGTCATCACTGAAGTCAAGGTCATGGAGCGCTTTGCCTAGGCTTTATTCTATGTATTTTATGGTTCCAGGTCTTACATCCTTTTTTGAGTTAGTTTTTTTGTATAGTGGAGTATCTGCTATTCCAAATTTTCTATTCTGAGTATACATTCAAGAATTGGGGAAATGGCCACTGGGGGAGATTCACAACCCCACAAGGCCTCCCGTGAAACATACTCTGAGTCAATGAATCACTGCTGAAGTACTACAGTTTCCATGATCAGTCACCACAACCATAGATTGCCATAGTCACACCATCTGGTTCTCTCTCTGGTGCCACTACCTAATAACAATAATTCGTATCTGGGGGTTAGACATTGCACTTGGCATCTAAGATTCTAAACACCATCATTCCCACTAAAATCAGGATCCATTTTAATATTGGCACCTCCTACCATCATCTTCAGTAGCATAGCGTTATAAAACATTTCAAGAAATCGGATGCTTCCCTCACCAATAGATTTTGCAAAGCCCTTCTCCAGGGAACTAGATGCTTACAAAGCCACTGGAAAGGTTGGGGAGCAAAGTCAAGGAAAGAGCTGCTGGCTTTCAGAAAATCTGAGGTGCAGAAATCACAGGAAGTTATATAGTTTCACTGTAAGCTTTCTTTAGCAGAAAAGCTTTGCCAGTGTATATTCCCTCCATATCATACTTTATCAGCAAAGAGTATTCTTTAAAAACATGTTTTTCAGCTTCTCAAGAGCAACCTGGAATTGTCAGAGAAGCTATCTGGGTTCCAGCAAAAGAATAAAGCTCTATGTGAAGAATATGCACAACTTTTGAAGCAGTTTGATGTCTATGTGAGGTAAACAAAAGATCCCCCCTGGAAGAACACCATACAAAGTAACTACTTCTTATGGAGCCAGCTTCAGGGCTAAGCAGTGATGTTCACTAAAGTCACCTTTCTTTCAAGAAGGTCAACAGTTTTCCTTTGTTCTCCGAAGTTCTACTTTTAGAACTTTTCCTAGAGAGATGCGGGGTCCAATTTCTTCCCAAGAGGAGGAGGGAGAAGGGAGTAACTATTGAGCTCTATGATATCTAACTTCTTTCATTTCTCCAAGTACATCTTTCTTCCTTGGATTTAGGGTTTTCTTTTCCCTTTGTGCGCTTTCCTCAGCCTGGACCACCTCTCCCCATTTCAACTCTTCATTTCAACCCAACATTCTTAGACTGAGAGTTATCTCCTCTAAGAAGCATTTTTTTAACACTACCAGCCTAGATTGAATGAGGTCCTCATTCTTTGTGTCCCTATAGCCCTTCCTATATACCTCTCTGAAGTCATTTCATAACTTGCTTGTCATACTGTATTGTAACTCATTCCCTGTCTTCCTCACCACTACAAACTTTTTAAGGCCAGAGGCCCCTGTCTATCTTATTATCCACATTCCTTGGTGTATAGTAAATGCTCAATAAAAAATTCATTCCTGGACTTCCTGCTCTTTCTTCCATTCCCTGTTCATCATTCCACCAGATTCCTCTTCCTCTCCTCCACTCTGGAGTGTAGCATAGTAGTTCAGTGTATGGACTCTGAGGCCATATTTCCTGGTCATAAATCCTGGTTCTACTGAAAAGTAGCTATATAACTTTGGGTGAGTTATGTAGTCACTGTACCTCCTTTAAAATGGGCAATATAAGAGAACTTACATGTAGGTTGTTGTGAGAATTAAATGAATGGATAGATGTTAAAGCTATTACTTAGGACACTGTCTAACACACAGCTCTTATGGTATCTATTTATTTTTAGTTCTTTCTTGCCCCCACCTCTATAGTCTTCTGCTGTATTTCTCCCATAGGTTGAAGTTTCTTATTTACTAGTGCTCTTGTCTATTTTGTTGGTGGAATTAATAACAGTGATTTAAAATTCATTGTTTACTGCCATACAGCAAAGAGAATTTCTCAGAAGCATCAGTGTCCATTACCTTGGTTTGATAATCATATCACTGAGAAATGTAGAAAACACAGGGAATGTGTGTGGTTCAGTTCATACTGCTGACAAATCTAAGGCAAAGAACTCAGTCAACCTGTACGGTGGCAGATAATTTCTGTAAGAGGAATATTTGTCAATACATTTTAGGGTCTGTAGTTCTAGCCTTTTAACTAGTAATTTCACTCCTGGAAATTAAATGAAAAAAAAATGCAAAAGATTTTCCCAGTGTTACTTTGAATAAAATATCAACCATTGGGCCAGTAAGTAATTCTTAACTGAGTTAGGGCCATGTTGTGGTTGTGAGGGTTGATTTCAACATACCTAGAATTAACCTGAGCTGTTTTCCTAAATTCTTGTGTGGCACTGACCACTGGTCAAGGGATAAAATACACTGAGGAAAACAGTGTTGCTTTGTAGCGACAGATTCAAAGAGCTCGTGGCAGTTTGCACTAACTTATCGCCTTGTTTAGTATTGATAACAGTAAGATTAATTATTTGCAACAGGTCTAGAAGAGACCCCCCACCCCCACCCTGCCCCCATGGCTCTGGTCTTGAGACTGGTTACACAGCGCAAAAATGAGAGAAGCAATTCCACCCCATCCTCAGTAGTCCTGGGTGCTACCATTGTGGGGGGAGGGCTTGGATGAAATTTCTTCTGATATTATTTGTTTTAAGGTATAATTTACATATAATAAATGCACAGATATTGAATGCACCATTCAGTGAGTTTTGACAAATGTTTACACCCACTTAAACACTACCCCAATCGAGACATAGAATATTTCCATTACCTTGTAATGTTCTCTCCTACTTTTGTGCAGTCAGGTCTGTACTTCCTGCTCCCCCCACCTCCTCCTATACAGTCGGTCATTTGGTTTCTGTCTCTCTTAGAATTTTACCTAAATGGAATTATATTGCATGTAATCTTTTGGCTCTGACTTTTTTTATTCAGCATATCCTATGGTTTTTAATGTTCATTTATAAGTTATTTGTCATTTTATCTTTAATTTTTTGATGGTTAGGAGATGGAATATTTTTCCATGTTATATGTCCATAATCTTTAGAAGAGTGGATCCTAATCCTTTGTTTGCACATGTCTGGGCCCCAACAGAGATTAATTAAATCAGAATCTGTGGGGATTGGATTTAGGGATCAATTTTTTTTTTTTTTAAAGCTTCCTCATCTAATTCTGATGTGCATAAGTTACATCTTTAGGAAAGAAAATGGAAGGAATGTCAAAACTCTAGTTCATTTCTGTTTTCATTCCCCTGATCCTAGTCCTGCCCTTCATAGACAATGCTTATTTTGTCCACATTTTCCCAACCACTCTTCCAAAGAAACAAATTCTTTGCCTCTTTGAAATAAAAATAATAGAAAAACCATCTGGTTTTACTTAAACACAAATGAAAACTGTCCCCAAATTTTTTTAATCCTCCAAATTATCATTCTTTCATTCTTTGCATTTTTTTAAGATTTATTTATTTATGCATACAAGAACAGGAGTACAGACCAGAGGTGTGGGGGGATGAGAGGATTCACCAGAGCAGGAGTGGGGAACAGAACAGGCAGATTGATGAAATACACTGCTGAGGGAAGCAGCAGGCAAGGCAGTAGAGGTCTGCTGCGCCATGTGAGTTGCTCCCTGGCCAGGGATGGAATTCATGCTGCAGCTGCTGCAGACAGCTTCTTAAGTTGCATCTTAACCCCTTGTGCCACCAGGGAGGCCCCCATTCTTTGCATTTTTATTGATATCATTACCCCCACAATAAGGCTCAAATTCTTTTGATTATCATTGCCTTTTCTTTCCAAAATGTTTTTTTTTACTTTTTAAATTGAGGTAATATTGGCTTACGACATTGTTTGCATTTTAGAGGTATAAGACCTCCCCCTTCGGATGTTTCTACACCACCACACCCCCACCGGAGCACCCATATGCATAATTATAGTCCATTTTGCTCCCTCACCCAGCCTCAGTTCTACAGTTAGATTTCTGGAGTTTGTTATCAGTTTGGCTATATCAGACCCTTTGTTTTGTTCTTCTGTATTCCACATATACTGGACATCGTAAGTATTTGTCTTTTTCCTTTTAACTTATTTCACTTAGCATAATCCCCTCCAACTCCATCCATGTTGTCACAAATGGTAAGGGTTTATCTAATAGCTGAGTAGTATTCTATCATGTATATATACCACATTTCCCTGATCCACTCATCTGTTTTGGGGCTGTCCCTAAATTTTAGAATGTGAATGTTAGGCTGCCTCATCAGACTAATAGTTAGCAAAGTCAAAAATAAACTTAGTAAATTTGCAGTTCATCAGAGAAGCTGGCCGACAGAATTTCTGACCAAACCAGTCAGTAATGGCAAGGGCAGACTCTGACTCTCACCAGCTGTACTGAATCAACACATGGACTTCTCAGATCACACTTAACAATACAGGATGAAGCCTGAATATCAAGCAATAAGCACTAGTTAGGTAAATCACTGCCTTCACTTGATATAACATAATGTAACCATAAAGGATGGTGGCTGGGAAGACAGGATAACAACATGGGGGAAAAGCTTATAATAATTGAAAAGAGCATCAGATTAAAATTTTTATATAGACAATGATTAAGCAAGGAATGCTTATAAAATAATGGAAGGAAATATAACAATATCATACTGATCATATTGGGCATGGATTTCCCCCCACATTTTCTATGACCTATTATCTTACTTTAAAGAATAAATTTTAGTTTTTATTAGTCCAAATGACAGAAAAAGAGACAGCAGCTCTCTTTCATGGGAAGCTTAGAGACTGGGTGTAAGGGCAGGACAGGACACAGTGCAGGTTTTCTGATCTAGCAGATCGGGTAAAGGAGGAGTCAGAGTTTTTAGTGGGTTTTTGCAGGTCTTTTATTGGGGTTCACCAGGCATATGGCAGGCCCCCAGCAAACCCTCACTGTATCTGGGCTCTCTGGCATTCTCTGCTTCTGCTTCTCTGCTTCTCGCTCGGCTTCTCTTTCGGCTCTGCTGCTGCTGGCATCCCCGTGACGCCGCCCTTAAAAAGCACAGTCTTAGCCCAGGTGAATCCCATCTACCTATGCCCACACCCTATTCCAGGTGCCCGCCATCAGGCATGCATTCAGGACCTTAAGGATCCATCATCTATCCTGATGGCAGGAGGGCAGAAAAGCCTGATATTTTTCCTTACCCTACACTGGGCTTTAATATTCCAGGCAAGAAGGTTAAAAGATATTCCAGAAACGTGTTGTTTCAAATTATGTCAAAACATCAGAGTAACTGTGAACACCTGGGAAACCCAGACATTAACAGGTAGGATTTTTATACACTGCTAGCTGCTATGGCCTTACCAAGCTATTCCCTGTAAAAAGGAAAATGAGACTATTTATGAGATGGAAATACCGCTCTGTAAAACAGCTAAGTCACAGAAGGGGCAATTATGAACATAATCTAAATCCAAAAACATGTGCTTCATATTATGTCAGGGTCACTGCAAGGGCCACAGAACTGAACAGGCCTGAGGCAATTTCATGAACCCAAGTGTAAGGGGAAGGATTGGGCACAGGGCAGGTTTTCTGATCCAGCAGTCGGGGTAAGGAGGAGAGTCCTGGAGGCCTCAGTGGCTTTTCAGGCTTTTATTGGGATTTACCAGGTACATGGCAGGCAGGGGTCCCAACCCCCAGCAAGTCTTCACTCTTTCTGGGTTCTCCAGCGTTCTCTGGTGGTTGTGGTTTTGCTTCTCTGCTTCTCCACTTCTCTGCTCCTTTTTGCTTCTCTGGGCTTCTGCTGGTGTCCCCATGACGCCACCCTTAAAAAGCCCAGTCTTAGCCCAGGTGAATCCCATCTACCTAGGCCCACACCCTACTCCAGGTG